TGATGAAGACGGCCCGTCCTGTTGTGAACTTTGTGAGTTAGCCATGATTGCGGGCTAGGTTGCGAGAAGGCACTTCTGTCACCAAGCAAGACAACAATCCAAAAAACAAGAGGACCATAGCGATGTAGATATATACAAAGCTATCTTCTATATACATATACACACATATATATATATACGCAGGTCATAAAATAAAATTAGGGAAACATAAGTAAACGGATATTACTTACGTTTTAAGACCCTTTTTAATAAGACGTCACAGAACACGCTGTGATCTCCTATTTCGTCCCCACCAATGCCCTCAGATGGAGGGCACTGCAACGTGGAATACCCTGGATGAACCTGCGAGTGATTTCCTTCCCCCCCCCCAGCCGCGCTGCAGCGTCCAAAAGCCGGTTGCGAAGTGAAACGGTTGAATTTAATCCAAGCCACGCTGCGCAACCCTGGAAGAGGTCTTAGGGATATCCGTCTTAATTTTGTTGTTGATAAGGTTAATTGCAGGTAAGTAAACGCATTCGGGGCTTTCGAAAGGGAGTCGGATAAGAAAGATGGGAAGAAAAAGGGAATCGATGATGTTGCACGAGGCTGCTGGTTGTGCGACGAGTGTATTAGTTTTGCGATACAAAGCGAATTGGAAACCCAACAAAAACCTAAACGACGCACACCAGAATGGAGAACCGCAATGCAATAAAATAAAATAAAATACAGGGTTAGTCTAGGGCGAGGGCGCATCCTGCGGCAAATGGCGGGAGGGAAATATTATTATTATCGAGGCGAGCGGCCGCAGGAAGCAGAGACAAGTGAGATGAGGTTGGATGAGAGAGGAGAAGAGATTTGAGAGATGCAAAAGTAACTAAGTTGGACAGAGGCGAGTAGGGAACCAATCAATCAATCGAGCGATCAATCAATCGAGCGATCAATCAACCAACCAATCAAATCAAATTAAATCACAGGCAACGAACAAGATAGATAGATTATTGCTTAGATGCTTCATCCAGGTACAGGAGAGGAGCCAGGCAGGAAAGCTGCGTGTAGCCGTAAAAGTGATGCGCGACAACAATGAAAGGAAGGGCGGACACGGGCGTCGAAGGGAAATGGAAACCGAGGCAAGCAAGAAGCATACATACATACAGCAAACCGGTTCTGGGGCCGTTCTTATGCAGGTAAAAGGTAGGAGAGGATTAAATATCTAGCCCGTATGTGATCTTTATGCGTCTTGTGTTTTGTCTTTCTACGTCTGTCTATGAGCACAGAGGGAACGAGAGGAGAGTGCGAGAGCGAGAGAGAAAGAGTCGGACAAAAGGACGATGTTAAGAGGAGGTAGGTGGTCGAGGAGGGGATTGCTGTTGCGAGTTGGTAGTTGTAGGACTCTGGAGGCGGACAAAGGACAAGCAGAAGCAGGGCAGAGTGAGTTACTTGGAATGTTGGGTTACAACAAACGAGGTGGTCGGTCCACAAGGGTCAGTTCGTCTGTCCGTCAGTGAGTCGGATAAAGTGAGACAGTGGACGAGACGAGAGAGACGGAGAGACGGAGAGAAGGAGGAGGAAAGATGGGGGATTATTGGAAGAGAACAAAAAGGAGGAAGAAAAACCAAAAAAAAATAAAGAAAGAAAGAAAGACATGAAGAACAAAAGAAGGGTGGGAGGGATGGAAGGGAGGATGAAGGAGAAGAAGATGATGCTGCGCCGGTGCGGTGGAGAGGAGATATACGCAGTACAGTACGGAGTAGAGTAGACCAAGACCGCCAGCCCAGCCAAGCCTGATGGAATGGATTTGATGCGGATGTCGTGATGGTTGTGGCGGGTCAGTGGTCAGTGGGTTAGCGGTCATTAGTTATTAGTTAGTGGTCATTATTAGTTACTGCGTAGTTACTCCGTACTCCGTAGTTGGTCAGTGGTCAGTGGTCAGTACTAATGAGTAGTCGTCAAGTGGTCAGTGTCAGTGGGTTCATACCAACATACCTGCTGGCGGTGGAGTTAAGCGTCCGCCCACGTGTGGTTAACTGGCTCCCTTCCCTGGCGCTATAACAGAGACATCGCCTAGGCCCGATCCGGGCGGTACCTGGATTCCGAACCCTCTCCTCCTCCTAACGGCAAGGCAAGCACACTACGGAGTACGGAGTACACTTTTGCTATTAATAGCTAGCTTTACAGAGAGACATCATCCTACGTACGCTGCGCTACGTATCGTATATACCTTTGAAGTGTGGTTATCGATTCGAATTTAGCAAGTGTAAAGATAATGAAAGACAGCAAAATACTGGAGAAAACTGTCCGCTCTAACCATCTAATGTAGTTAGTTAGGGGCATAGTTAACTATCTCCCCTTGGGATGGATGGCCAGGGCTTCCAAGTTCCAGGGGGCTCCAGGGGCTCTCGCGCGCAGGGAATCTCGGACCTGCGTAAAGGCCACGCAACACACACACTCACTTCCTCTGCAACACCTACGAAGTAGTTACCGTCCGTAATATGGTGTCCTGTCTCCTCTTGCCTATCCAAACCATTTTGGATCCTGACTTCAAAGAGTTGTTGGTTCTTATTATTATTACCCCATCATCCCACGAAACCAGTGCAAGACAGGAGGAATAGAATATTTGATAATAAGGAATAATGATAATGATATCCTGACGCCGTTGCTGGTCGGTCGGGCGGAAGAACCCACTCACCCACCCCATCCCCCCATCCTGGGCCAGATAGTTAAATAACGGGCCATCCATTCGCTAAGTCGATGGTTACCACGGGGCTCGGTGCAGCACTTGTTTAGTAGGCGAATCGTCGGTCTCGTCCTATCCTATGCTTGACTCTCGAAAGTTGAAGAGACGCTGGGAATATCATCGCCAATCAATAACGAACGAACATTAAATGAGAATGAGTTTGGTGAGAAGAAAGATATCATTTCAAAGAAGCTTGGCTCGTTTGCTACTACCGAAGCATACTCGCTGCGTTAGCCAAGTCTCTGCAAATATTCCAATCAAGCTTCTTCAATTGAGTTGCGCCCCTTTCCTGGTTTCCTTTTCAAACTGTTAGCCTGTACATGTACATGTGCATGTACCTCATATCCTAATAGATGCGACCTAGGACAGGAAGTTTTCAGGTACCGGGATACACTATGTGGACCTTCCATCTAAAATCCTGCGTCAATTTTTATTTTTATTTTTATATTTATATTTATTTATATTTATATTTATTTTATTCGTTGAGTGATATAAAATAACTCAAACGGAACGCATTCAAGGGGAAGGAATATCCAGTAGCGCGGTTTGTATACGTGTCCCTACACCTCCCAACCTTACCTGTACCCGTAGATTTCTCCATCATTCAACAACAATGGGGATAGGGGAATCGCTGCCCTTGCTCGGCGGTTAAAACTCGACCTACTACAGCCGTTTTACCCCAGTAACTGCATCAACTGTCCTGTATGTACAGTACCACTTATGTACTGTACATACAGGTATATACTGCATCAAGGAAGAGAGGGGGGCCGCACTGCATGAGTCTGCGTGGTACCTCTGATGGCAGTGGTAACTCGCAAGAGGGGGGAAATTCGGGGTACTTCCGCACATGTCTCTGCATTGGTTATTCCGTTGAGGTGATGTTGTTTCGTTCAATGTCACCGCTCTTCTAGGTTTAGGTTACCGTTAAAACCTCTTCCCCCCCACCCGCGAGGTAAATACCTGGGAACACTGATCCTGGGTAAGGGGAAGGGAAATGCAAGAAAGAAGATATAAAAATAGCGCCCAAGCCTTTAAATCTAAATAATGAGTGGACTGATGAATAACTTCAATCCGTTAAATTATTGGCCAAGTCCTTAGGCTCGAACTCGAAAACCACTCGTTGAACCTCCATACGGGGAGTATACGTGCCCCTTACACCCATGGAAGGGATTTTCGGCTCCCTCTGTCCCGTCGTAGTCCGGTGCATTGACGAGTGTGTTTTCAATGGTTACATAGGTATCGTGTGTGGTTGTACTCCAAATGCATGAACTTACGCAACACTTCCCTGCTCAAAGTCATATAAGTGACGAAATCTCCCGCATGACGATCCGATATATTCACACCTGGTAGATGTTGCAAAGATGATTCAGATTTGGTCACAAGCAATCGGTAACTTCAAGCATCCCATTCTCCCTCTCCCCCAAAGCAGAGCGCGGTAAAAGCCATCCAATGAAAATCGGTGGGCCCTAATCCGGGGTGGCGCTCGTTGCCGCCCAAGATCCCAATTTCTAAGAAGTACTAGACAGACGTCATCGGGTATTTGGCGGGCGATTCGCCTGCCACATCCAACAGTTACTGGTAACGTACTGCAGTGTGTTTTTTCGATGCAGTACCCTTCATAAGTAGCACTGCTGCTGAAGAGTGCAGGGACTTATTTTTGACCAGGGGTACGGAAGGGAGAATATGCACAAAGACTACAGAAATGCAGGGCTTTCGCGCTGTTGTTGCCCCTCTTATATCCTATCCGATCCCATCCCATCCCATCTCATGGGGATAATGAGTGGTGAATTTTGTGCGTGGACATACGATACGACTTTCTGGTTCTGTAGCATATTTGTCTCATTAATCATCAATATCGTCATCATCATCATCGCGTCAAAATGATGATTGCCAAGTCCAAGGGCTCGGACCTTTGTTGTTCCGGAGAATCGGACCAGGGGGCTGAATTCATTTCCTCCATCAACCTCCCCCTAATGTATATGTACGCCTACTGACCCGTTTATAATTATGGACGTTATGAATTGTCGCATGCTCTGATAACCTACCCAGGTCCCCAGGCACGGAGTTAAAACAAAAAGAAAACCATAAGCAAGGAGCCTGGTCCACTGAATGGTAGTTACGCTCTCGCGAATCACACGCACGCGCCATTTGTTGAACTTAAAAATAACTTTCTCCATTCCATTCTGGAAGCACTTCTTCCTTTTTTTTTTCTCTTTTTTACTTCAGACTAACCTCAAGTTCCCCTGCCGCTTGACTTGTGTGTTTTTTAGGCCGCTTGTCCGTACCGATGTCTTTAGTTTCAGGCCCTGGGAGGGGTGGTGCGCCAGACTCCGCAGGCGGGGAGCTCTGTGTGCAGAAACATGTAGACTACATCAAACGCCTTGACACAGTGCGTACTGCCTTTTTAAGACTCTTTTATTTCCACATGCCGATACCAGAGTTGTTTTCGCAAGTTATTGTGTTGTTAACAATTAGCTCTTCACCAGCGGAAAGATGAATTGGAATACTGGCTTACAGAACACCTGCGTTTGAATGGAGTTTACTGGGGTCTGACCGCGCTCCATTTGCTTGGGCATCCCGAGACATTGCCCCGCGACGAGACTATTGCCTTCGTTCTAAGTTGCCAGCATGACAGTGGCGGCTTTGGTGCCGCCCCGGGCCATGACGCTCACATGCTATATACTGTTAGTGCGGTTCAGATCCTCGTGACGATTGATGCCGTCGATGAATTGGAGAAGCAGGGCCGGGGAGGGAAGGAGAAAGTGGGCTCATGTATGGCCATATATATCTTGGATGATTTGTGGACTTCTACGGGAACTGCGCCGGCTAATTCGTTTCCCCTTTCCTTTGTTTCCCCCCCTCTAGTTATTGCGAATCTTCAGGATCGTTCTACGGGAACGTTCAAGGGCGACGAATGGGGGGAGATAGACACACGTTTCCTCTACGGTGCGCTTAACGCCTTGTCCTTATTGGGTCTCCTTCACCTTGTCGATGTTCCCAAAGCCGTAGCCTATCTACAGTCATGTGCGAATTTTGATGGCGGGTTCGGAGTTCGTCCAGGGGCAGAGTCCCATGCGGGTCAGATATTTACTTGCGTTGGAGCCTTGGCGATTGCTGGCCGCCTTGACTTGGTCGATGTGGACCGATTGGGTGGTTGGCTAAGTGAGAGACAGCTGGATAACGGTGGGCTGAATGGTCGACCGGAGAAGCTAGAGGATGTCTGCTACAGCTGGTGGGTGGCAAGTAGTCTAGCTATGATTGGCAGGCTTCATTGGATTGATGGAGCCAAGCTGGCTGCCTTCATTCTCCGTTGCCAGGTAGGTTGAACTCATATCTATTTTTGCTGAAGACCCGCGCGAACTTGTCATTGAGAAAGAAAATATAGGACCCAGGTGAAGGTGGGATAGCAGATCGACCAGGAGATATGGTTGATGTGTTCCATACCGTTTTTGGGATCGCTGGCCTGAGCTTACTGAAATATCCTGGCCTCGAGGAGGTCGATCCGATCTAGTACGTTGTTCTCCCCCCCCTATCTTTCTTCTTCTTTTTTTTTTTTTTGGGAACACCATCTGATAGGTAAAAAAGTTGTATGCCCAAAGCAGTCACCAGCAGGGTGTTAGGGAAATAATATGTTCGTGGTATATGTAATGTGTCTAGTAGCTTCGAGTAGGCAATTCTTTTTTATCTAAGAGTCGCTGAGAGAAGCGCTGTATTATTTATTCCACGAGCCATTCCTTGTCCCAAACAAAAAAAGGAGCATAACAGCGACCTCCCGCAATCTAATAACCCATTACCTGATACACGATAGGCATTGGGATACAAGGCAGGAGAAAAACAAATATCTGCGTGGTTTTTTATCCGCTTCTTGTCACCTCGGATCGCACTCACGTCGAGGTTATAGGAACCAGAGAACATTAAGGAAAAAACAAGAACAACGTAAAACCCACCTCACCTATTCCCCTATATAAACAATACAGTCACCTTTGTTGATATACATACAACCCAGTGGGCCTTGTGAATATCATCACCTTCCCTTTCGATGGCTTCCATCCTCTGGGCGGAAGTTCCATTTTTTTTTCTGTTCTTGCCCTCTCAATTTTTCCATTCTGGTAATACCGCGGTATTACCACGCCATTCTCTTATCTCTAACCTACGTATATCAAAATACGATACTGTTTTCATGTTCCCTCCCATGACTGCACTTGCCTCCCCTGGATGTTTGCTGTTCCTCAACGACAAAACATCCCAACTTCGCTGTCTCTCTCGTCAACTCTTCAACCTCACCTTCTCAACCTCTCTTCTACCGCCCTCAACCAGCCGCGAAGAGAGACCGTTCTGTTGTTCATTTCTATCACTGAGGTGCATCTATATCTCCCAATTGCTGCTTCTGTAGCCCCTTTTTCGTCCCTCTCTGTTTTCTACTGTCTCTGCGGTGCCTGTGTATCTGTGTTAAGCTAGGCTGCCTGTTCTCTCTGTTGTTGCCATATTCCCTTCCACGGACTTTTCTCCGTGGACCGTTCAGTTATCATCTTCGAAAAAATCATGCCTTCTTCTATTCTCAAATGCATTATATGCCCCAGGAAGCCCAATTTCAGTGATGTGTCACACCTCCTGACCCATGTTAGCTCCAAGGGTCATCTCTCCCACTACTTCAAGCTCCAGGTGAGAAGTCACCAGGAGCCTGAAGCTGGCGAATTGCTAGCTGCCTATGACCAGTGGTACAAAGAGCATAACCTTGCTGGCTTGCTTTCAGAACGCATGCTCACTAAGGAAGCCAAGAAGAGTAATTCCAACTCTGCCCCTGTTGGAAATGCCTCGTCCATTCGCAAACCCTCCAAAGTGAGGGACAGTCGTTCGGCCCCCAAACCCCCTGAACAGCCAGCTAGCACTAGTCATCTCCCGGAATACTTAGATCCGCGGATGTCTCTCCCATACATTGCTGCCGACAACAGTCACACTCACATCCAAGAAGCTCCACGGCATACCGCTGCTGCAAATACTGCTTCTATAAAAGCACAAGCTCCAAGTGCTCCGCTGTGGCCTAGGTGCCATCCTAGCCTGCTGTTAACTACTTCAACAGAAAATACGATTGGTTGGAAACCGGTGTCTGATTCCTCAGCATCCGAAGAGATTAGTCCTGCTGGCCGACGGAAGAGACCTTGGGCTGAACAATCTGATAACTCTCGTACTTCTACGCTGCGTCGACCAAGACGCCCGGTCACTCCTGACCCGTTTGTGGACAATGGCTCACCAGAGTATGCCGCTGACGACGATTATGAGGAATCTCCAGCAAAAAGGGATGAAGCCACGAGGCTTAAAGGTATTTTATGGCCTGGTATGGATATTTTTGACTCGGCTACCGAACAAATGAGGAAGAAAAGAAATCAGAAAAAGGATATCAGCATTTTGAAACAAATGGAAAAGACATCTGAAGATGTTGAAGCGACAGAATTGGTTTTCTCTCCAGGAGGAACACTGCGTCGGGAGCGCCCCATCTCGGGGGAAGTCGAAGACAGTAGCCCTCTCACCGGGGAAACTCCGATTCCTAAGCGAATACCACGACCCAGACGACGCCCGCTTGCTCAGTCAAGCACTAACCTCTTCAATCTAAGAGGCCAACGGAGAAAGCCAACCAAAGCGGATCGTCGTCGCCACACCGATTCTCTGGAGGAGTTATCCAGACACGCATTGCCCCTTCTTGATGGCTCTCCCACAAGCCGTTCCCTACAGTATTTCGGTAGCCATTACGCTGCGGGGGATGAAGACTTCAAGTTAACGTTTACTGACTATGAGCAAAAGTCTCGTCTTGGATTTGCAATCTTCAACGACAACAAGGAACAGGTGCAGGCGGCCTTTCGTGAGGCCATCTCCCGTGGAGGGGACGGTACAATAGATGCCGCGAATGCTGCACACGATGCCAAGCCCTCACTTGGCACTTTTACAGGCCCTCGTCTATTTCATCCGTCTGGTGCCTCGAGCAATTACCAGTTTCACGCATCCAAGCCATACAGCCATACCCGGCCCACTGCTATTCCGGAATGCACCATTGGAAAAGAGAATGTCGAGCCTATCATGAATTCTAATGGACGGGTTGAAGCCCATGCCGGCCATAGCAACTGGGCTGGACAGCAATCTGTCGAAGAAGGTCGATACTCAGCCCAATACTTTTATGGATCTGCTTCGCAGCAGAGTTTTGGGGCGTTTCCTGAGAACGATGGATTTGGGTATTCATGCAACCCCTTGTCGTTCTCATATTCTCAAACCCAACCTTGTGATGGGCTGAGCGTTGCTACTCCTCGGTCTCACGCTACGCTTGTAGTGCATGAGAAAGCCCAAAAAGCGGGCGCCATCTCGCCAGACGGAACGGTATCGGACGTCGACCGAGAAGAGTACGGAGATATCTATCTTGATAACCTTACACGGTGAAATCGAATTATATCGTTTTACTGTTTACCGTAGATAAATCTACATCGACTCGAAATGATATGGCAATCAGTTAAACCGGCCGAGTTCAGTGGTTTCGGGGCCGCACGGAGGGGGGTTATTGAATGGCCAAAAGGCGAAGTTAATTCCCGAACATTGAATATAGATAGGTATATCACATACCGTTCCACAACCCTCCCTTGACTTTTATTTTCTACTCTTTTGCAGAACTATTAGAACACCATTCTTTTTTGCATGTTAGCATCCATAAGAGCGTTCATCCCACTTTTGTATTTCCCTACCCGGCTCGAAGAAAAAAGGAAAAATTTGGAGCTTGTCGAAACATAGAGCGTGAATTAGAGTTGTATTTTATATAGCTATTGATACCCTTGGTGCTAGCTTAATATGAACTTCCACCCACCCGGTGTATACAGAAAACTTGACCTCGCTAAGTGCGCCACTTGACCTCATTACATAATCATGACCCTGACCTCGCACAATACAGTAATAATCAGTTGATAATTGACTTTGTTAGAGGATAACGTTGTTGTATATGTGTAATCTACCTAAGGTGAAACTATCCATACCGGAAAAACGTAGGCTTATTATACGACTGGGTTATGGTTGTTCCGCCGTGCCAGTCACTGACACCATCACCGAACTGTAAAATATAATATAATGGTGGATTAGCTGTGGAATCACTGTAAATGAGTTATGAACAGAACAAAATCATCATTGTATTGATAATATCACTGATTTTTATCTATATAATCACTAATTCTAAAAAACATTTCATTCATCAGAATCATTCTCTATTGAAAATCTGTCATATTTCTCTGTAATTTCTCTCAGATTCTCTGAATTATCTCTATATTATTATCATCATTTTCTGTCATATTCATATCAATATTTATTTCAGAGAACTTACAAATTGATATTAAAGTTTGTAAAGAGTCAGTATCAATAATCATTTACTATTTAAGAGAGAAGATTTCAGAGAAATTAAGAGCTATATATTTACTTATCTATATATATTATTATTAACTTCTAAATAAATCTGAGAATCATTTCACTGATTCTAACTTACTGTTTCACTGAGAATGTTGAGAGTTTCAGTGCTACTCATAGTCAGAGAATCAACTGAAGTTGAAAGATTAAAGAAGAAAGAGAGAGAAGAATTAATAACAGTAGCAGAGATATTAATAAAAGAGATAAGAAGAGAATTATTACTATTATCAAATTTCTTATCACTGCTGCTACTATTACTAACTGTAACTGAATTCTTATCAAGATAATCTATAAATCTCTGAATATACTTTATTATTTTATACATTTCAATGATAATACAGCTAGCTTCAGTATTGATATTATTTATTAAATTTATAAGATTCTTCATCACTGATTTTTATTCTTTAATATAATTAACTATTATTCTCAAAAGCTTATAATACACTTTAAGCTTGATAGTTTCAATATTAAGTTTTATCTTTTTAATCATAATTTTCTTCTTTTCTATAATAACTTTTTTCTTTTTAATTTTTAATTTTACTCTTTTAATATCTAACTTGATCTTCTTAATCTTAATTTTAGCTTTTTCAGCAGTACTGATAATAATATTCAAAGCTTTTAAAGCAATAGTAATACTCTTTATATATTAAGCTTTCACTTTCTATTAGTGAGTTTTAACTTTCTTAATCTATTTTAAAAGATTCTTCACTAATTTCAATATAGTTTTCTTTATTATTTTCTTAAAATCATCTGATATAGAAAGATAAAAGTCATGAATTCAGATCAGATTATTAACTTATTTTTTTAATTCTTCAGAAATAATTATACATCTCTTTTTCTTATAATTATAATTTATATAAGATTTTGAGCTTTTCTTTATCTTATTATAAGCAGTATTCAAATAATGAAGAAAAATATACTTAATACAGTACTTATATATTATTTATTTACTGAGCTGCTTTATAAGAGTATTCAGATAGCTGCTTACTTTCTTCTCTTAAGTCTTTACAGTGATAATATAAGTACACTTGAGAGTGTTACTTACTATTTTAATACTGCTGCTGTTATTATTATTACTGTGATTAATACTGATATAATGAATTACTGATATTCTTGATATACTATATAGATAAAATATCTTAATTAGAACTTTTCTGATTAAAAGCTTTCTATTACAACTGACAGAGTACTAATCAGACTAAGAAATAAAGAAGAGTAGAATAAGCTAAGTGAGCTGAGAATGATCTTTACAGTGTATTATTATTATAAGAAGAAGAAAGAAGAAAAGAAGAAAAAGAAAAATATAAGTCTTTATATATATTATTAATTCATCTTTGCAGATTATTATATAATAAATGTAAATACTTTCATATTTCACTTCTGAGTGTAATCAGCATATCTGATGAATTTTATTTATATCTTAATACTTTTTATACAGGCTATTACTGATTGAATTATAGCTATTTTAAATATAAAATCATTTCTATTAACTAGAAATAAGTTATTATTATTATTATTATTCTTTCATTATACTCATATGCAAGCGAAGCTTATGAAGAGTCCTTGCATGATGTTAAATACAGGTCAAGTGTTGATTATACAGAAGGAAATACAGGTGTTGAGACTATATCAAGATAACAAGAACATAGGAAATACAAAGAAGTGACAGTTAGATACATGCGATAATAACTTCCCAGCTCAGGAATATAGAGCAATTTTATTGAAGTGATTTGTACACCTCTGTATTTATTAGAAATCTGAGATGCTTGAGTTTTGGATTTAATGTATTCCCTGCGGGTTTCGAACTCACACACCTTGGTTTCCCACGCCAAGGCGCTACCAGGTGGCCGCATTAACTATTCGGTCACCAGGGCACTAGAAATAAGTGTTCAATACACTGTCAGAAATATATCTATAAAATTCAAGATAAATAAGAAGATTTTCTGATACAGTGAAATCAGTGATTCTGCTGTGACTATAACTATAATTAAATACAAGATAGATAATATAATAACTTTTATCAGTGAATATCAAGACAGATCTATTCTAATAATATATAATAAAGTATATATTAACTAATTTATATATAAAATGCATAGAAAACTAAATATATTAAAATAGAAATAGATTATATCAGAAATCTCTATATTATCTGTCTTTTACTGAAAGTATCTCTGAAAATTTAATCTTTTTTCATATCTTCTTCTATATATCTTTCACTGTATATCTCTTTTTAACTGTTGAGATATTCTGAATTGTCTTTACAAAGTCATCTCTGACAATTTTCTGATATTCAGAAACATTGCTTATCAGATCTTAAAATATCAGAATATTTTATCATTGCATTATAACTGCAGTGAAATTTTTATTCATATCAGTATTATTAAATATTTTAATCTGAGTTGTCAGATTGATATATATCTCTATTTTTAAAATCAGTTTCTAGTTTTTGAAACAATTTGAATTATGTTAACTTACATTTCATATATCATTATTCTCACTCAGAGAATCAGTCAAAGTTAATAACTCTCTACACTTAATAAAAAATCAGGAAGAACTTTTCAGCAGTGAATAACTTATAAAAGTAATTAAAAATAATTATTTCTTTATAATAATTATATAAGCTGATTATCTCTGAACTTGCTCTGCTCTTTATCTTTTTCTATTGAATATGATTCTATATTGAAATTAAGTTAGCTAACTTAATTATAAAAGTTTAGATTTCTCTAAGATTTCTCACTGAATTCTCATCAGAGATTTATGATCTTTTATCAAGAATTTATTATATCTCACTGAAAAGTTACTATTTTACTAAATCTAAATACTTATCTTCATTTTCTTTAATAAGCTTGATTTTCAGATCTTGACTGTGTTCAGCATTGTTGTTCTGCTGAATGAGAATATATATGATATTTTATCATTGATTTTGATTATTTTTATAACTATCTGATCAAGATTTTTCTTTATAAAGAATAGAAAATACATTCATTTAATCTCTAACTGCAGATATTACTCTGTTGAGTGAATCTTCTTCTCATATATTTCAGTATCAGAGTGTCTAGTTCTTCAATACCTTCTTGATGAATTGCTTATTAATAAGAAGTTTGAGTTCTTCTCACTATTCTTCTCATCTGTTAAGCATTCTTCATTAATGTCATTGTATGCCTGCTATGATTAAGAAATATTAATATTAAATTTTCTTTGAAATTGATGAATTGTCTCATTAAATCTACTAGATGAGAAAGTTTGAAAAGATCTAGTATATCAGAGTCAATGAGAGTATTCATTTTTGAAATTAGATTGAAATTCTAGTTAATAAATGATACTGATTTCAGAAGCTTACAGAAATATAATCTTGAAATAAAGAAAATAGTTTGATTATTAATATTAATTTAATGTAGATTGTCACTGATTGCAGCTGTTATTAATATACTTCTTCTTAGTAATTCAATCTCATCTCTTTATTTCATCAAGATTACTCACTCACTTCAATTATATCTTTTCAACTACACAACTTGTTTCTACAAATTATATCAGAAAGCAAAATATTATATCTATTTAATTAAAATTTAAAACACTATCTGCTATCTATCTCTAGACAAGAATCTAAAGATGATCAATCAGAATTTCAATCTCAGAGCTCTCTTTTCTCAGAAACTATAAATGAGAATTTCACTGACAGTGATTCAGATAATGATATTTCTGATAAAGAAGTATTACTATTCTCAGTACATTTATCACTTTTAATATCTTATTATTATAAAAACTAACATTGTCTAAAGACAGAGTCATATAACAAGAATGTCACTAATAATATCAAGTATATAGAGTGACTTTTAAAAGCAGACACTGAGAAGAATATTCTGAAGAATATTCTGAAAAATATCTTAGAAAATAATGATTAAGAAGATTCTGATAAGTCAGTCACTAATAATATTGCTATAAAAGATACTGCTATTGAAGATATTACTACTGTCTCTCATTTTACTAATGAA